GAGGCTCATTGGTTCATCATTCCTACAGGCTGTGAAAGGAAGGAGGCTCATTGGTTCATCATTCCTACAGGCTGTGAAAGGAAGGAGGCTCATTGGTTCATCATTCATACAGGCTGTGAAAGGAAGAAGGCTCATTGGTTCATTTAACGTGAAATGATTAGTGACCTGGGGCAACTGACTTACATATCTAGGTCCCCAATAAACAGTCAAACTGAAGTAGAGACATTCAGTTTGGAGACTGCAGAAACCAGAATGTGAGTCTGGGTCTGTGTCAAACACCAGAGATGATGGTGTGGTGGTTTCCTGCAGGTTGGTCCCTGTAAACAGGACTCCCCCCCCGGAGACTCACACCTGGTGTGGTCAAGCTAGCTTCCCCGATAGCCCCCCCCCCACAATGGGGGCTTCTGTGAAACATGACCACAAGGTGCCGCAGACTGCATGAGAATATTTTCACAGAGATGGTGGGAACCAAAAGAACCAGACTGTTACCAACTCGTATGAGAACCTCAAGCCAGCGATACAGGTATCGTGCTGATATTATGATTAAACTTTCTTATTTTCATTTCAACTTAATTTGCCCCTCTGTATCTACACTAGTGGCCAAAATCGCAGAAACACTTCCCATTTTTAGAGATTGCATAACTTTATTCCAGTTACTCCAGTTTCTTATTTGATCGTCCGGTGTATGATATGTGTAACATTCTTTGATTGTTTATAAACATTACTGCCATCACATTACCGTGTAGTAATATTTAAAGCGTAATGCCAAAAATGCTGGGTGTTTCCAAAGTTGGCCACTAGTGTAACACTTCATCCATCCATCTTCCAATCGCCAATCCTACACACTCACATAGGGCTTGGAGCTCATACCAGAAAGTAGAGGGAACAACGTTATGATACACTACGGACTGGATGCCAGTCTATTGCGGGCCACCTTTTATCCAAACCAATCATACTTATGATAAGTTGAAACTGTACATTATTGTCATTACATTATTTTATATTTTGCAAACTGTTTTATATTTTGTGAGAGGCGATCATTGAAGCAATACTTCACTAGTAACCCTCTTCACTAGTGACCCTCAGATAAGTCCACTTCCTTAAAAACTAAGTCACCTCATGTCAACAACCTCAAAAGATTTTAACTGTCCTTTGATGCCCAATTGTGAGAGACTGACAAGTGTCTCTCACACGAGATCCACAGTGGGTAAAATCAGGGCGGAAGGGTGTGTCCCATTTACCTGTATGCTGGGGTAGGTTCTGTTGCTGTCGGTGCTCCTCTCTCCAGGAATGCTCCCAGCTGAACGGCCCTCACACTTGTACCTGAAGCGCATCCCCCTCTGCTTGGGCTCCTCAAATATTTGAACATGAGGCTCCCCCACTGTGGGGTGAAATGCAGAGAACCAGTCGGGATGCTGGAATCTACACTGACACGGGCGTCACCGTATCAGCTGACTTCTGGTGTGAATCTTATACATAATTATGTATAAATTTGTCAGGACACCAAATAAAGTCACGTTAAATTGAAGACTGCACCATCTTCAGTTACCCAGGTGACCACGCATGACGTCACATTTTATGCTGGAAAAGGTGCGTAATAGGTCAATACTGGGCGTGGTAACAGGCTCCTCATTAGATTGTTTATGCGTCTGTAAGGTACTCATGCTCCAGAAACTACATTTCACTGCAAAATTCGCTCCAAAACACACCCCTTTGCAATTGTTGGGGTTCGTCCTGTATTAACTACATAACAAATGGGGGACCATGATCAGTTGAAGCAGGGAGACTCAGAATATGAATTCAAATAAGCGAACAGACGAATGACGGATCGTACCGTAAAATATCTAAAATATCGGGTGAAAGCATACTGTAAATTAACCTAATTGGAAACCTTTCATCAAATTCTTAATGAACAACCACTTGTGAGTGTTTGGTATATTTACGGTAGGTGTAAGTTACAGCTAGTAACTTTCTTCAGCGTTTTAACCACTGTATTAATTTAGATATCAGTTAATCTATCAATGAGAACAGAAATACATAGTACGTCACTGAAAACAGAAAACACAATTCTTCACCCACAGTCTGCCTACATAATTTTCCTTCCGCCTTCAGTCTATCGTTTTCGCTGTATATGTGAGAATAGGTGGTCATTAAATTTGACATTTATGACATTATTTACATCTTATTTTGTTTTACAATGGGAATTAAAGTGCACGCAATGATAGTATGGAACAGAAAGTATGGTGTATATCTATAAATAAGGATGAATGTTTTTCAGAACTCGGAAAGCAATGATTACAGCAGACGTATTAATAGGACGAGCTATCACAGCTGAACTCAAACGCAGGTTATTAACGTAGCAGTCAACTAATCATATATTCATGTATTATTCATTCTGTATGCACGAGAGATAAACGTCAAAATACAAGCAGTTTTAAAAGTAAAAAAAAAACTTCGAGTGCATTCGTCTAAATTCTAAATACCGAATTCAAACGTTTAAAGAGGATGTTACTCACCATCCATATTGTGATACATCCTGATCACCGGTTGCTATTAGAATGAGAGTTTATTAAGAGAAACTAGAGCACTAATGTAGGCTATTTATTTAACCGGGGGAGGGGGGGGCGCTTTGACACCGCTTGGGAATTCCCCGTTTTCTCCTCCCTCCTGGGCGTGATATAGTGACGACACACTGTGTCGGCAACGACAGTACATTTGCGGCAACTTCAAATATTGAGCAGATGGATACAAAGTAATTTTGCGACAACTTTCTGGAAAGGTGCTACGAGTTTCACAGGTTTCAGACTCAAATGACATTTTTTGTTCCATCTTAATTTTAATTATATCGTATTATTATCAGGATAAACGGACACATATAGAGACTTACACACGTACGTTCAGGGTCTAAAGGTAATAATAGTAATAATAATAATATATGCCGCCTAAAAACGTAAAATATTCAAACGTTTTACGTTTGTATCAAGGGAGCAGAACTTTACGAGACTAGAATCTTTAGGCTATTATAGCCTACTTTTTCTGCAGGAGGTTGAAATAGGCTATTGCACCATTTAAACATTGTGTATTTAAAACCAGCAAAATGAGAATCTATTTTGTTTAATGCACATATATAGGTATATTATATAACGCAGCTGTTTATGAAGTCGTATATACGAGCATACCAAAGAATTATTTAGTTTAATAACATCCATCGCAAATATGTCACAAAATGTCGAGAAATACCGAAGCTATTGATTTGTTACATGTAGGCACGTAAACATAACTCCCGATTAATAATGATACAAATACGAGTCAATGGTTAGATTTAAGTAATGTTCCGGTGAGAGACTTTTTGGATTCCTAATTTATCATTATTTACCTTAGTTCGTATATAAGTTTTGATCAACTCTAAATATACAAAAATCTCAGTACAGAATGAGATCATTGATAAAAAACCTAAACATCTCCATATAAGTACCATCATGTAAAATACTTGTTTTGTTTACATGCTTACGTTCTTATTTTTCTGGGTAATCCCCATGTGAGAGTTTAGCCGCCTATTGAGGCACAGGTTGGGAATCTCCCAAAAGCAATGAGAACAAACTGTTTGTCTTAAAAGAAAAAGCAAACACCTATCAGTGTTTACTATCGGCAAAACGTCAGATTAATATACATTTTATCGTTATCATTTTTATTTGAATAAATTCAATATATTCACTTTCTGCAGTCACCGCGATCGACCTGCTTAGGACAAGTAGCCACAGAAAATGAATGGTTAGACTTATTTAACTATCGTTATTTTAGCGTTTCAAATCCAAGTTACAATGATACAGGAGTGCTGGTATTTTCTGTCTATGATATATTACACGAATTTCCGGAAACTTGGTCAAAAACAGAAACGACGGGAATCTGTGCAATTAACAAATTTTGTTTTAATTAAGCACCACGGTCATTTCCTTCAGGTACTCGGAGTTTAAGTTATGAGATAAGAGCGAAATTGTTGAATTCATACAGGCTAAATAACGCGCCTAATTCTAATCTACTTCGATTTAAAAGACGGATCGATGTTTTTTAAGCATTAATAAACTATCGTAAGTTAACTGCATCGTTGCGATTGCCATCTCCGACTCATGGATATGCGCCGCATCCCATGCATCGACGTGGCCCACTGTAGTTATGCCGGAGACACTTAGCTCTAGCGGGACCCCACCTCCAGCACATATGAATGGTAACCTTGCCTTATAAAGTTCTATTGAATTATATGATGAATCGGCGTATGTCGAACATTATGAAACTCGAACTGGGGATGCACTGTCAGCTTATGTGAGAAGTTTAATATTTTGGGATTAGCGGTTTATAAGGACAACTCTACACGCGGGATTCAGCATGTGTAATTAAGTTGGTACCTTAACGGTCCACGTCAAGAAAGACCAGCAAAGACAAACCACTAAATGGGTGTTCTGAGTGGGTTAGAGTGACTCTCATAGCTGTCGACAGTCACTGTAAGCCCGACGCCTAGAGGGGCCGTGGGTGGAAGTGAGCGAATGGGGCCACCCTCGGGGTGGTGGACGTGCTTGCAGAGCGAGAACGAGGTGGGAGGCTGACGGCGCGCATGCGTCGGTGGGAGGCGTCGCAAGCGCTACCCCCAAGTCAGCGTAGGCGTCGCGCGCTGAGGGGGTAGAACCGTGCGTCCTCGAATCGGGGCGAACCTCGGTTTTGGAAAAGGGCGTCACCGTCACAAAGCCCGCGTCAATCTTTACTCTATCAGCCGCTGCTGCAGTCTACAACATGAAGATGTTTGACGTCCCAAGTTTGAAAGTTAACGCACATCGCTTACAAATCAGCCTCAGCCGATTTACTAACCCACTCTCGTTCAAGGCAATTTAACTGGAACTGGTCAAAGTGCGTTAAACGACTGGCGAAACGGCCAGTTTTACAGAAATCAGGAGTCAACTGGAGGCATGTGGACAGTTGGTAAAATACTGCCAACTGCCACCCCCCCCCGGAAAAATTTAATTTTAAACACGTGTTATTGTCCTTTTTAGGGATTTTGTGCACCACCAAAATAAAATTAAATTTGAACTCAAAAAAGGACAAGCAGGCCTCTACAGGGTATTACTGAAGTCACAGCAATATGAGATAAGATGACAGGGTTTTAATTTTAAATACATGCACACTGTAAAAGACATAACATTTGTGCTTCCAAGGTACCAGATTTCTGCATCCTGAGTGACATTCAGGAGCCTCATGGGAATATGGATAAGGGGGCAAAAAAAATGTAAAAATGACAACAGCCGTTTGGGGTTTTACTTGGTTTTATGGTCATATTTTAAAGGCGGAAATATTATACATGACATACAAAAATACATTTGAAATACAATTAAACTGCCCTACAAAAGAATTCTTTACTGATACCCCCCCTCCCTGACAAACTGCGCAGAATGGATGCCAGTCATCTGGCCGCCCCGTGTGGGGCTGTTTGGACGGTGGGGGGCTGGGACCAGGAAACTGAAAATGGCGATGGTTCTGATGAATATAAAAAGTACACTGTACAAACAGGCAAAATGTGAATAAAATTATAAGAACCTCAAGGAGAGGATGAGCTTTAAATACAGTGTTGCTCCGTGGAGAGGCGAGCTGAGCAGACCAGGCGGCGAGGTCACTGCTCAGCGACGGCACGGCCTGCGCTGGCTAACGACCTCCATGGGAGGTGAACTGGCTGGGTGCCCCACAGTAACCGTGGCAACACTACTACACACCAAGGAGAGAGAGGAAGAGGAGGGAGGAGAAAAAAAAGAAAAAGAAAAACAACAGCAAACCCATCTTTGACAAAAACTTTGGAAGAGGACAAACACCAGCACCCATTGGTTAACTTGGGGGAAAACTGGGCCCCCCAGCATGTGAATCTGGGGGTGGTTCAGTCATCCAAATTGCCCAGGGTTAGAAATCATACAGGAGCCCCTCTAAACAGGGAAATGGGGGACAACCTCACGCAGACTTTACATTTTTTTTTTTTTTTTTTTTTTTTTTTTAAAGGTTTTAGTTAAAAGCTACAATTCAGAAAGACGAACAAATTTAAAGACAATTATGTTCATCAACTACATGTACTTCGCCCGATTATTATCCCCCCAACAGGCTGAAACCTTAATGAAACTGGAAATGAAATAAGAAAGAAAATAGCAAAAAAAAAAAAACAAAACACACAAAAATAACCAATAACCTTCTGTCAGAGGAGGTCATGTGATCCCCAGGAGTGACCGGGAAACTCCTGAGGCCAATAGGATGAGGTGGGGAAACATTTAACAGGTACTTGGCTTGTTTCCTGCAGCAATCTTACTCAGAGGCCCTCAGCAAGCTCAGGCTCCCAGAAGCTTGGCCGGGTAACGAAACGGGAGCCACAGGTGCCGATGGGCCGGGGAGGGAGTAAGCGGGGATTCCGGTCGCACTACCGGTTCAGCGTGAGTCGTATGGAGTTCTTCTTCACACGGATATTGTTGGTGGGGAGGGGTGAGGAAGGGTCCGGTAACTCCTTACTGGGCAGCCTCTGGATCAGTGGCGGCACCGATGGATGTGGATTTTTAGAAAAGAAAAAAAGGTAAGAAAAATATGCACTTAGAAATCATGTTTCTAAAACAGGTCCAGTTCTTAAACGTTTCGCGTTTCCAGCCGGACCTACCTGAGATCGGGCCGTGTCAATGGTCGGGATCGGCATGGCTTTAGTCCCACCCAGAGTTTCCTGTCGAAAGAGGAAGAAGCGTGCCTTTTAATGAACAGAGAGTCTCTGGATAACGGGCCGGCTGGTTGACCCCCAAACCGGCCACCAACCTGCCCATCGCCATGGTCCTGCCCTTTGCCCGGCGGCCGGAGTGGCTCCTTAAATGCAGAATCTTCCGGAGACGGTAACTGTGCGGGAACAGAATGGGTGCAGAAGATGACGCACAAGGCGGCCTCTTCCAAGAAGACACATTTATACATCTCATACAAAACGTACGACACATGGGACTACTTCGGAACAGCCATTTTTACAACATTCAGCTAATGATTAAGTTATTTGTAACAGTGTATCAGTCCCGACAAGTAATTAGGTAAACTCAGCTTCTGCAAATACCTTCTCCGCATCCTTTGGTTTCTTCGGGGACTCCTCTAGGGAGGGGGAGTGCGGCCGTTTTAGCGTAGAGCCATTGGAAGCCAGCACACAGACCCCATTGTGTGGGTCAGCCTGGGCGGCACTGGGATGGTCAGGACGAGTCCCCACGCTCCTGCGTACCACTGTGGGTATGGTGCTCCCAGTAGGGGGAGCCACAGGCGCTGGAGGAAGGAGAGGACACGGTGTGGGAGGAGCTCACGTGCCGCTCTGCGGTTCTGGGGAAGTGCGAGGATGGCGGATGGCTACTCACTGGAGCCGATGACAGGGATGGACATTCCTTGCTCCGCTTTCTGCTGAGGCACCTCACTGACCAGCGGACTGTCCAGCAGTGGTGGCGGCGAGATGCTGCAGGCCAGCGAATGGTTAGCGGAAGTGCGGACAGAAAGATGAGCAAAAAGAATAAACCCCTCACACACCCCCTCCAAGGCACCTTACCTGCCGTCCAGCTCGGAGGCAGGTCTGTTGGGCCGGACTGCGGGAGTCGGGGAGCAGAAGGGGGTACCAGAGTCCGTGTCGTGGGAGCTGTCCAGCACACTACCATCCAGCGAGGACTGTTTTGGACCACCCCCACTGGAACTGCGGTTCGCCTCTGCAATGCTCTGCAAGAGGGCAGTGGTCCGGGACGTTACAACACAGGAAGCAGTGCTCCAAATACCCCCCCCCCCAAAACCTCCCCCACACTTACAGGAAGAGAAGTGATCAAAGGTCAAAGGTCACTCAAACTGAGCATTCCTCACCTTTTTCTTCTTCTGCACAAGCTCTGGAGGCAAGTACTGGTGGAGCTGCCTCTTCTTCACGTGCGTGGCTTCGATCTTCATGCCATCCTTCAGCATGCTAATGTTGTTTGCTTGCCTGTACACTGGGTGAGATGTGGCAGTGGCACGCATAAGCTACAACAGCTGCTGAACTCTGTCACGACCAAAGCAAAATATATTCCCAGCCCTAAACCAAGAACTCCATTGTCAAACTCTAACAGTGAGAGGTAGACCTCAACAGAGCTTGGATATAAACACATCCAGTTGGGCAAGTTTACAGAAATCAACTTCTCGGTTGAAGTCTGACGGACAGGGAAACTTTGACAACGCCACAACACACTAGGGCAATGAGAGCTCTAACCAGTATCTGTGAAGGCCTGAATGTCGTAGGTCAAATCGATGTTCACGCTCTCAGAGTTTTCCACCTTCTTGAAGATTATCCCAATGAACCACATTGAAACGAAGTCACTCCTGTTCAAACAAGCATGAAATGTCAATTTGTGCCGAAAAGTGAGTCCCCTTCCACCAAATCAAAGAGTCGTGAAATCTGGAAACGCCAATCAAACCCATCACTGGTCTCATCCTACCTCAATGCATGACGTCCTTGCTGGGGGGTGAAAACCTCCTCTGACATGTGACCTGTCAATCACCCCTCCACCCCCACCCTGAAGTCTGAGAAATGCTCGAACACCATTTTCAGTTTCTACCCACAGTCCTGTAGGTGCTCATTTGAAACCAAATTTTCCAGAAACAGAAATTCTGCCAATATGAATCAAGTGCACTACATTCTAGAATCTACCTAAGTGTATAAGTGGACAAAATACAATCTGCAGTCACTCTTTCCTAAATTTTACTATAAATTGGAGAAAATGCAGTCCAAATACCAGTACCTTTAAAAATTGAAAAACACTCAATTTGCAAGGCAGAACTTGCCATCTACAGTGGAGCAATGTCGCCCCCTTGTGGTATTGCTTTAAAAGCACCACATTCACAGCACAAGGACCTCATCCTCACTTACTCGCTATGGTTTTCCTGGGACCCGGGAAAAGACTGCGGATTGACGTGAGCCAGGGTGATGTACTCGTTCCGCTCCAAATTGCCGACCAGAACTCTGATTTTGGATTCGACTAGACCTATCCTGCAAAGAGCATAGAGCAATAGTAAAAACCAAATTTACTCAACTATTACAGTACCAGTCAAAAGTCGGGACATACCTGCTTTAAATGCATTTTTCTGTACTTTATCTGTAATTCACCTTATAGTAAAAGACTTCAAGGCAATGAAGTAATGCATATCAAACAGGGAAGTGTTCAACATTTTAGACTCTACAAAAGCACCCCCTTTTGGTTCAATAACAGCATTGCAGACTCTTGGCATTCTTTCAATCAGCTTCCAGACAGAGAAGCATTCCAGGTGGAAGGAGTTTCCAAAGGTTCCGACCACAAGTTCGCTACCTTGCTCTTACTCTTCGATCCAACTCATCCCAAACCAGCTACATAGGGTTTAGGTGGGGGGGGGACTGTGGTCATCTGTCACAGGACTCCATCTCTTTCCTTGCTCACCAGATAACACAGGACTCGCATAACCTCGAGGTGCGCTTAGGGTCGTTCTCGTCAAAAAACAAATGACTTGACACTTGTTTCCACACTACTGGCTGGTACTGTGCATTCCAAGAGTTCCAAGGAGGACAGGGGTTGGCTCGGAGGCAAAAATGCCGTTCACCAGTGCAGCCTAATGTGCTTAAAATGATCAGCAAGTTTTGCCCGTGAAAACTATACTTCACAAGTGTACATTTTAGGAATCAAGAGGTCAAAACACACTCACCATTCCAAATGGTTTTCCTCTGTTGACGCGCCCGCCGTCAGAACGATGTAATGCCTAGTTTAAAAAAAAAAAAAAACCTTAAACCCAGCTATACCATACAAACCTTCAGTATTCTGTTATATTCTACACAGTGATACAGTGATAACTCATTTCATTGTGCATGTGCACAGGTTGACTGACTTCACAAAGTTTTGTTCACAAACCACAATTTAACATAAAAACAGAGGTATGCACTTGCTTCTACGCAGTACGTACTTGTATTTCTGAAAAAAGTTGGGCGGTTCGAAAAGCTTCGACCAGTCAGCTTTGCCGAGGAGGATTTCGTCTGTGATGCTGAGACCTGTGGACGACATGACGTGAGCCAAGCAGATGGACACCAAGGCAACTGCGACCGCGTTCCCAGGGCCGCCTGCCACCCACCAGTTTTGAATTCCTCGGTCATGATGGTGCGCGTGGAGGTGGAGACGTTGTAGGTGGAGTTCTGCTGCGGGTAGGCGGGCGTGATGATGGGCATGAGGTGGTACCTGTCTGCAGGATTCACCTTTGGACAAGGAAGGAGGAGAGAATTAAATGGTTTCAGGCAGACACACACGTCACTGTGGCAACGCACAAAGGGAGACTCACCCGTGGGTCCCAGACAGGAAGATTGAGGTTGCTCTCTTCCGGCTGCTTTAGAAGCACCGGATTAGGCCACTCCCTACAGGGAGGTGAGGAGAAAAAGGGGACAAGACAGAATGACCTCCATACTGCTCTGAATCAGACCCATCATATGCAGCCTCTCAAAAGATCTTACAAGGTTTCCATGGAGATTCAAAAACTAGACGTTCAGTCACATGGTGTAGTGGCTAGGGGTACAATCTTGATTAGAATTCAAACAGGGGAGACCCTCTAGGTCAGTGGTTCCTAAACTTTTGTCTTGAGACCCCCAAAACATTGGTCATGGTCTCAAGCCCCCTTTCGATATGATAAACTTCGCAGAATAAAGGTGTGGGGGTGCGTGATTAAAAACATAGACCGACTGTAGGTCCCTGAACACCGGACTGGGAAACACTAGTCTAAAGTCCGAAGAGTGTGCCGGTAAATGTTCGCTGCAAGACGAACAGCAGCAGGAAATTTAATTAAAAAAAAAATAAAAAATTCAAATGTTTAAAGCAGTACCACCGCAAGAGCACCAAACAAAATCATTGCAGAAACCAGGGATTTACTTTCACTCAATGCACATAAGCTGTACCTGATAAGGACTCCGATTATCACTACCTGAAACTACATTAATAAATGAATAACTTCCTGGTCACATCATTCAGCCCTTCATTCAGTCATTTGCACCATGACTCACCACTTTGAAAAGACGAGGAAGAACTTGTGTACCAGTGTGGAGGCGACGGCGTTGGGGTACAGCTGGCAGGTCCGTGCCACCAGCATGGCCCAGGACACGCCGCCCAGGAAGCCCAACATGTTGGAATAGATCCCACGGCCTGGGCACACGGAGTCACCACTAAGCAACGGCATAATTCAGCGAGAGGTGTCGGCATCAGGGTCGGCCTGGTGCGGCTTAGAATCGGCTTCTGACTCACGTTTCGCCCAAAGCTTAATGGCTCTCAGGGTCAGGCGAAAGTTCTCCGTGTTTGGCACCAGATATAGGATTTCATCCGTGACTCTACAGCCTGTCCAAGGGCACAATACAGAGCAGACAGACAGTCAGACCTACGGGTCTCTGTGTTTCCCGGGGCGTCAGTGGTCGGGGCGCTTTAGATTTACCGTTTAAGCTGCGGATGCATCGAATGTCCAGGTTCCTCAGGTGGGAGTCTCCGCGCAGGTTCAGGCTGTCTGGAATAGACTGCAGAGCCAGCCTCGCCAACAGCAGGTCAATCTGCATGGAAGCAGTACGGTGGTTGGTTTTTGTGGAAAGAAATGAAGAATCGCCGTGCTACTCATTTGACTGCAGGCAGGATTCCCTATAGCCGAAAAAATTAAACAAGCTTTACCTCAATCCCGTAAAACTTGAATTTGATCACGGGCACAAAAGCGTCTTCTACAGCCTGGGACATAAAAGACACGTAGGTTAGATCAGCAATTGGATGTGTCATTAAAATACCATTTTGGTCCAAAACTCTGGAAAAGATAGATGCCAACATACTGGGTAGATTCCAGTCAGGCTTCCGTCAGGGACACAGCACTGAAACTCTCGACTAAGGTCGTAAATGACATAATAATGGCAACTGATGCCGACAAAGCAACTGTGCTCATGCTTCTAGACCTTGGTGAGGCCACGCGGATGACCATCCTACTCCATTACATAACCCAACATCATGTTCTAGTCTATGTGGCGTGGTTGTGAAGTGGTTTAAATTCGAAAAGACTAACATATCAATATGCTCAGGCGTTGAATAACTGCACTCCATCATCAATGTCACCAGTCAAACTCGGAGTACCACAGGGATCAGTGCTTGGCGCTTTGTTTTTTCTCTAAATGCTGCCATTAGGCAACATAACGAAAAAATATACTGTTAATTATCACTCCTATGCCGATGACACCCAAATATATATGTCAATTGTCACTTTAGCTAATTGCTAATGTATCTCTGACTAAAAGATCATGGTCTGGGAGTCAGCTTTTGTACCTTTGAGGAAACATACGAATTAAAACATGCGTAACTGAAATGATCATTAAAAAAAAAAAAATGTGCTGAGAGAACACTGGGCAAATTCAAAACAGCACACTTAGCATTTAAGAGACTGAGCAACTATAGATACCATGAGCCTGTATTGGATAACAGGTTGGAAGATGGATGGTCTGTAAAGATGTGAGCATCTTCTGTCCCCTGTGGCCAACACTCACCCGAAGGTCTTTGATCCCCTCATGCTGCTTCAGCTTCTCAAAAAAGGACTGGAAGAAGTCGGCCCTCTCCACGTGGCGGGGAGCCACGCACAAGGCATCGATATCCGCCCCTGAAAACAGACACAAACCCCGGAGTCCAGAAGCTTAATTAAGCTCCTAGTGGCTAGCTCATACTTCACTTTTCCACGTGTGCATTCAGGCTGCGGATGGTCATATACGTGGACGCTTCCGTTCGTATGACATTTGTCTGTGCATATGGATGGGGCCAGTGGGCCTCCACCAGTGATATTCCACCAGACCATCAGAGGGCAGACTTATTGCAACAAACAAATTCGAGCAACGTAATAAAATGGGTAAACTTTTATGAACAGTTTTAAAGTTATTAGTCTAGGCTTGGGCAGTGTTAAAGTAATACGGCATACTGTGGCATTTTCAAATTCCTAATCTTTCCGACAAAATTAGCTGGGAGTCCCCCACCAGGACTAAATTTCATCTGCACATACTTCCGGACCTCCTAAACCAATTCTCCTACTTTTTCCTGGTTGCCCTCTGCTCTGTGAAAGTCACTGATGCCACCTACAGTTGACACCCAGTTAGGTTCCTCGCACATGCGTAAGCAAACGTGCGCGGACAAGCTTGATCTCCACCAGCCTGGTGCAAACTCCTGATGACAAAATTTGCGTTACTTCACCCTGTGCTCGACCGAAAGCACATGCAGAATAGTGAAGTATGAACTGGCCTCATGGTAAATTAAGGCTAAGCTGACTAATTAGTGCAAACAGATCACTAAAAAAACACACTGTTCAAATTGCCACTACATCCAAACACCCTATTTCTAGGTTATCCTCAAATGCATCTTTTATGTGCACATATACTGAGAGTTTGTTTAGAGTGTGGTCATTTTTTGTTTTATCTGTTGTACCTACATTTACATTATGCATTTAGCAGGATCTTTCGTCCAAACAAAGAGCACATTGCAAACAAACATGCTGTCAAGGAGACAAGCAGGCTGTCAGCTTGTAATGTGTTTATCTATAGTGTGAAGATAATACACAAGTATTTTACTGTACTATATATGTGACACAGAACTTTGAAAATAAAAGCTGTAGTTGGTGCACACATTTAGACATTCAGATTTAATCTGCCATACCTTTGGTATGCACCCCCAGCCGATAGGAGCCAAACGTAAAGATTTTTCCTCCGACGTTCGCTACCGCTGAAGGGGGAAGATTCTGATAGGGGGGGTAATGAAAGCCATTTAGCCACTAAGAAAAATAAATAGCACAGTAAAATTACAGAGAAGACACTGAAAAGGAACAGAAATGATTACCTTTGATTCACTGATCTCCTTTATCCACTCTTTAACAAGCGAGTTAAGTTTGCTTAGGACATCCAATCTGTAACAAGCAAACATGAAACATCTGTTACACAAGGACCAGGAAAAATAGCATAGCATATTGTATGCTAGCTCTACCTTCACTAAAGCAGGTATGTAGCTACAAGAAACCCAAAGCTGTTATTATGCTGTTACACCTGTGGTTCAGCTCATCTTCATCCTCAAAGACCCCAAATGGTTTCAGAGCCTCTATGAGCTTCTGGGTGTGCATGTGGTCAATCTCTCTGGGTAATGCCAGGCTGATGGAAGAGGTGATGCCATAATGTTTCTGAGGCTGCTGCCCGCCAAGCATACTGTTATTGGTCCTGCAAAGTAGAAGAAAAATGCAAGAACGCTGACACTTCATTCTTTTAATTACTTTCACTAAAACCACAGATATTAGTGCTGATATCTGCGATGCAGTAGAGCCTCCAATGCACGAACTACGACCCAGCATGCTAAACATTACAACAATTAAGAATGACAGCACCTATGTGCAGGTCAGAAGCAACCAGACGACCAACAACAGGAAGTCACATTTTCGGAGGCGGGATGCAAATAATGACTTCCGGGCGTCATGCGACTGTTTGGCGTGCGTGCTGGGTTACAATTACAATTATTATTCATTGACACTGATGTACCTTTAAACAAAGTTACGGTTCTTTAACCACCGTTTTGAAGCTGCATTATCTTAATACGCGGGAATAACTACACAAGCGGATCTGCACGACTGATGCGCCTATCACTGTATCAGCAATCAACGGAATGCCGGGCACGCTTTACCAAAACATAGCCTCTTATCGCAAACCCATTAACATTTTTCTGTAAACATTATAAGATACAACAATTTTCTGACAATGCATATCAGCATTCGGCAATTATGTACGTTCCCAATGAACGCGCTCGCATGCACGTTGTCAATATTACATGCACAGAAATGACAGCCAGTTCGCAAGCTACGACAGGCCAACGGTTACCGTTTTACAAAATCATACATTTCAGCAAAACTACACTATACTATATATGCATACATAAAGTTGCGACCTCACCGACCATTATAAAAATGTGACTACTAACTTTATATATACACTTGGGAAAACTATTGTAATGAAAGATCTTCACTTATTTCTCGCCCTAAAACAAATGCAAACACAAAACCTCATCGGTAAAGACACACAAATCGGGTCAAGGCTGCTCAATCCGTTGAAGAGACTTTCGGAGTTGGACATGGTTTATTCCCGATTAAGCCAGTATGACAGAAAAATAACTTGTAGCGGGACATAGCCAACTAATCCACCGGAAGCTCTGCAATCACTGTCAATACACGAGCTGCTCATTTATTTTCCCAAAATATAGCATTATGCTTGAAACCGACTTGAAACGATAGCCAGTCTACAAATGCATATGCGACAGAGACACATTAAATGCTAAAAAAGATCGAAACATGCTCCATGCAAACCTTACAGGCCTTAGTCGAGCCTAAAGTCGCCAGCTAATCGGTTAGCTGTGTATCACTTCACAACAAACGCAGCCACACAGCTAAATGACCGATCTGCTCATTTTCAATATGCTCCCAACTTACGCTGACATTTCTTTCATGACCCCTCGGTGAACTTTGTTTATATTACTCAGGTATAATTCCTTGAAAACATGTAAAATCAGCCAGCAGCAGCCTCGATCCCTATTTATAACAATAGTTATACTCCAATATGGCGATCACCAGCTCTACATATCCCGGCAGCCTTTGCGCTGCCTAGCAGCGAGGCCGCCATTGGGAGGGGGTCTATTCAAAATCACTGTAATAATAATCAGAATGAATTTCACTATAACTTCTATAATAATGTGTCTAGTTACTGATGTTTATTAAAAATCCCCCCGTGCTTTAATGTATACTACAATTATATCTTACAGTTTTTTGCAAACGTAGTATTCCCTCGGTTTTATAACATTTCGTGAGCTCGCCAAAAAGCATTCGGTGCTTCAATATACTCACCCTTTTAAACACTAGCACTAGGTGGAATTTACAAAGGCAACAATTATGCCTATTACTGTATGCAGCGTTTACATACACGTACTGAATTTGGCCAGTAATGCATTCAGCGCCATCTGTTGGACTTTTGGGAGCGAACACACCGACTAGAACAGAATTATGCTGCGTAATGAGAACCTGGTTCTCACAGGTTCAACACTATGGTAGAACGCCATTTTAAAGAATACAAATTGATATTGGATCTTTATGAGAATTTGGTAGCGTATCCATCCATCAATTTTCTACAACTTCTTTTACAGTTAAGGGTTCCGGTTGGCATGAGCTTAAGTGAATAAATACATGAATCGTCTGACAGTTCATAAATGGGCATACACGATGAGAAATTTTAAGATGCCAGTTTATCTAAACTGACTCTTTGAGTTCAGGGAGGAGACACACGAATACGTACAACCTTCACACACAGAGCGTCAGGGCTGGGATTCGAACACACAACCCTGGAGGTGCGAATCTACAGTGTTGAGCATGGAGCTGCAGTCCTCCAATAGAATCTTACCAGAATGTGTCACCGACGTGTTGAAGGCAATTCCAAACTTGTCTTCAGTGTGTGTCTATTTTTGTCTTTGCTTTTTGTCAGTTTTGGTGTTAGCCAGACAATGTTTAATCACCCGAGAACAAGGTGGATGATCTCAGATGGAGATTAACGTCACAAAGGAAATGAGGAACATACACCCCACTTCACAACCCAGCTGAATGGCTTCTGAATTTTCAACTGGACTGTATTATCCAGGAACAAAAGAAGGTGAGGAGTATGTTTTCATATAATCAACACAAAGAGCATAGATGTGAAACTGTTGCACAGCAGTACTTTCTTTATTTTGGATACCCGATGATCGAGTGCCAAACGTCTATTATCAGTTTATGACTTGTGATTCCTGCACAAGGAAACAACACCGGCGCACTGGGCGAACCAAGCGACATCACCATCGTCATCAAGTGATGGTCAGGAACACGTTTCCTCTTTCCTAATTGCCAAGTGCCGGACACTGGAGTCAGAGCAAAGACTACAGGTATGCTTCTAATAAGTGGAGTGATGCATGTTTTGAAGACTCTTCGTCAATGGGACAATCGAGGCAGATTTACCTGAAAAAGTTGTACTTCTGAGAAGTGCCGGGCACAGACTTTTCCCGGTCAGGTGCTCCAACGGGGGCGTGGCTTATGATAAATTTTGCCGGCCGGGGTGGGTGATGAGGGGGGGGGGGGGTCCTGCCCCGCTGTAAATTCAGTTATTGAAAAGGCCACTGATACCCTCAAAAGGGGACACTGTCAGTCGTCAGGGCAAAAAGGTGGAGGTGTTCAGGCATCCTTCATCCCTTTCCCCGCACATGTTGAGTGTATATATTCTCACGAAGACAAGCCGCAGAAATACGCAGGTATATAGTAATTCTGTTAGGTCTTTAGAAAGCAACAAAGCGGGCGAAACTAAAATATAAGAGTAATGTGTAAACACAGTATACTAGGTAATACCAACATTAAATATCACATAAATGTAGCATGACATTCCCAGTTTCACAGACTACATACCAGAATTGGTCTTGTCCAGTGAGAATGCTCTCCCCGACGACCTGAATGCATTTTTATGCTCACCTGGATCTTGCAAAAAAAATAAAATAGAATAAACTTAAGTCCATGCGATCTTGCATAGCACCCAATGACGCCTCCTTCTGTCTCCGAGAGAAATATAAAAAGAATTTTTAAAATATTACTTCTCGCAAATGACCAACTTTTTGATGTTTTTTGGACTTTTTATATCACTCTCCAAAGGAGTGCCACTTAAAAAATAGTGGAATCAGATCCCCTAAAAATATAATTAGAGCTGTGTTTTGAAGGACTCCTCTTTGGACGCACAAAACGGAAGGTTAGATCAAACCTTGGCTTAAATAGTACCACAAGGATCCACTGAGGATACCATCTCACTGGTTTTATGTTCCACTGTGGCTCATTCAGAAAATAAAACCTCCAACTCAGGCTACTGTTTATAGTATATATTTCTGCACTGGACACTGTGATCCTTTTGAGGCTTGTTGCAAAGTTCCTGGACTTGGGACTTATATGCAACTGGATTGTAAACTGTCTCACTAGCAGATTCCGGCATGGACGAGTGGGAAGTAAACCCCCCCCCCACCCAGATCTTCGCCCCAGCAACGGTGAGTCATCCTACAGGGATCTGGGTTAGGGTCCTAGTGCCAGGAAAACATCTCTCTTAACATCAGCAAAACCAAGGAGTTCCTACTGACGTCAGCAGGGTAGCTGTGGAGAGGGTCACCATCACAGGCAACCTGACCTGGACACAACTCATATTAGCAGCAAAGAAGAAGGTCACCAAAGGTCTTTGTACCTCACGAGAGGAAGGTCCAAATCTCACCATCAGCTCACACCAACATCTATAGGTGAATGATGGCTTGTACCCTTACTGGATGCATTACATCGTTGTATGGCTATTTGGTGGCTTGAATCGGCAGAGTGCTGAACATGGTGACAAAGGCTATCAGGCTGCTGTCGGCATCACGCAGCCCTCTTCCCTTACGGCAGCTGGTATAGAAACATTAACAATTGAACCACAGGGATAAGTAACAGTTTCTACCCACAAGCCATAAGGATACTTGAAAAGACATACAGACAATGTTTTCACACATACAGTGGTGAGTCATCAGTGCTCTCATTTGTCACAATTCATTTGATTTGGGGCACAGTCCTTTCATTACGTATTGTGCAGCATCACAATGTTAGTGTTATCTGTGTTATCTACTGCTGCCTTTGTCACTATTATCTGACCTAGGATGTCTGTTAAATTGGTCATGAACTGTACCGCGTACATGTTGTTGCTCTTGTGTGAGTCACTGCTTTTGACTGTTATTCGAGTTATATCCGTTGGCTAGTCACCGTTGGGCCCTTAAACGAGGAGCTTAACCCCCCTTGCATCAGGGAGACTGTCTCACCCTCACTTGTACATTATTTTGGGCAAAAGAATCTGCTACACAAATGTAAATGTTAATGTGCTATTACCTGGCTGGTGAGCATCTCACTGTAATCGGTACACATGACAATAAATTTGAACGCTAGCTTGAAAGTAGTGTAATTTACCTTCCATAAAAGTGGTTTAAATATCGGGTATGGTTCATGGTTATAATGAGATCCATTCAGGATTTATCTTTCATATCACTGGGACAGAACCTATCTGGGAATGCTACTTGAATTCAGTTTTTTATTTCTGTGCCTCAGTGGTTAATACTGTGGTTCCACATCCCCAAAGTCATTGATCTGATTCCTGATACTCCCAAAGTATGGAAGCTTGTTTGTAAGCTCACGGTTTTGCCCACAATGTGTGAATATGTGCCCTGAAATGGCCTGGCTTCCCATTTGGGATATTTTCCTTCCTTGTGCCCAGTGCATCCTGGGATAGGGTACAGCCTTACCAAGACCGACTGCTGGGTAAGCAGTTATAGGAAAGCAGATGGATGCTTCTCAATGTAGCCACAACACAGAGAACAGTCCCAAGTGTGCCTCAGATGGATTTAGTGGTTATTTTCAGGCCAAAAGGGATGAACAGCTTTTATCTTCAAGAACATCCGTAACCTTCTCAGCTTCAGTGATCCATAAGCCATATTACTTACCATATTTCATTGATACCATATATATAAATGATAGGTACAAATATTTATTACTTATTTACTACAGATAAGGCAAAAATGATGCCATCTTTCTTTGTGTAGGACCAATAGTCATAGTGTGAGCTCAACCCAAACATAGAGAAACACAGACTCTTTGCTCGTCTGTCAGTTAATGCATAATAGATTTGCTTACAGTTCTTTTGAAATGACCAGATAGAAACCAGCAGGGTGAAACAATCACTTTTATTGAAAGTTCATTACATTGTCCTTATTTGTTTGCAATACTAATCTAATAAATAGATGACATTATATATAAAACCATAATGCACATATGAAGAGTAATGCTTGGAAAAACATACTGTGTGTTTATAATCAAAATTCATGCATTGAGTTGGTAATTTATTCTTATTATCTGTCTCTTAATTATAGATGGTATAATTGTTGCTTTTATTTAATTTTACAGAATATGCATTCTCAGTATTGGTACATCTGCAACTTTGAGAAATAAATGGTTATTATATACATCAATATTTATTAACGATGACTTTTAAATTAGTTTAATTACTTTATAAGATTTAACATTTTTCCCAATTATAACGTAACTTGTAAAAGTGTAAATATGACTTATACACAGATTTAAAGGCATGGATGAACACTACGTGCACATTTTTATTTAAAAAAAATCAGTCAGGTGGGTATGTATAATTATACTAGATGTCGACTTCTGGCAGCCATACAGATTCTGCATTCTGTCTAGGTTTTAGGCTTCCACTGTCATGTGATGGAGAGCATATATACCATATTATAGAGCGATTGACCACCTATGATATCGAATAAAGGGTTCATGAAATGTATGGCGTACATGTTTTTGCTCTTGTGTGAATCGTCGCGCTACCTTCAATCAAGCACTTAAAATTTAACTTTGAATAGACACAAATACCTAATAATATCTAGAAAAAGTGTCGATCCTCTCCTGGTAAGGGATCCGTGACTTCTGCCGGTGATACTCGGTCTAGCTGCAATGCTGGCGAACCTGGCGATGCACACACTCACCAGCGGATTCAGATCAGATGCACGAGGGAGAGGCCTTAAACTGAGCTCGCGCCCGCTCGAGGGGTCCTTGGAGGCTGCCCAAACGCTCGAGATGGATTGTTTGCTGGGGGGATAATTCCGATGCACTCTGCAATCGAGCAATTAGAGGTTTGTTGTTTGTCTTTGTTTGCACCCCCCGCCCTCCCAAAAAACATACACATACACCCTAGTGCTTACAGCATGCTTCACACATCGATTATAGTGAAATTTCTTATGTTTAAAGGCACAAGCTTTGCAGTAAACTTATTGCTTCCTCAGGCATTTTCTGCGTTTTTCCCTACAATGAATCATTAGAAGAATGCAAAGGCGGAAAAAAAACAGCTCGTCTATAAACAGAGCAGAGAAGGCACCTATAATACTACAATTTTCATGCAGTGCGTCTTACTGCGGCCTATTAACCACAACACCGTGCTTGTAAAAAAGAAAATACCAAAGACACAATTTGACAAGCTCACGGCACTAGATCTAGACGTTTAAGTTTGTTCGACTTTTAAAAATATGGTTATGGCAAAGCTGTCTTTTTAGGGAATCCCCCCTAAAGGTAATGAATAATTCACTTGGAAAGGTAGCAAAATACTAGAAAAGCGGAGCGACTACGACCGTCAGGAAGCGTTTTAGCTGAGAGCCAAGATCGAAAGTGGGAAGCGAGGGTAGTATCACCGTGTGAAGCGTTACGCTCGGTGCTCTCCGTGGTCCTGAATTGAATAAAACGCGGTGCAACAGGAAATATGCGCTTTTTGATCCCCATGTTATATGGAGGACAAACAATCAAAACTGTATAAAGTATAACTTCGAAATATATACATTTTAACCATAAACTTAGATGTTACCTCAAAACTGTTAGCATCTCAATCATAGTTGGCTGGAAGTTTCAGGCGGTGTTTCTGTTGTTGAAGTAAAAAAAAAAAATCCAAATTATTCTTCCGCCTTCTTTGGCGAGCGATACATTCAATTGTTTAATCCTGCTCTGAATCGCATAGTTAGTTATGTAACGCTCTACATTTGTGACTTGTACAAAAATTACCATTAATTAGGCCTAGGGCCTACTTTATTCGTTATTACTCGACTGTCAGTGTAAATACGATTATTCTAAATTACCAAAATGTACACGTAGATTAATTTTCCTTACCAGACTTGGTAGGTTCTTTGACAAATGTTGTTTTCTGTGGCCAGAAATTGAACAGACGTGTACAACATTAACTAGTTTTGAATCTCTTTTTGTCTGATATACAATTAATTTTGTGAAGTGAAGAATTGCTCCCATCTAACAATACAGATGGTATCAAGCGGGCGATGATGTCAAATCCGTTTTTAGTTGGCGCTAATAATTTAAAGCAAATGAACTAAATACATAGGCAGTTCATTAAATCATTAAAACAGTCTGGAATAATACTCTCAGAGTCATTATAACGCTATTCCCTAGTCAGCGACGTACGCTTGCCTTAAGCACAGTTTAATCAAATTAGATAGCAAGCAATGTCATGGGCTTTCGCCTATTGGTATTCATTAAAAATAAATTTATCACTAATCTCTTTAAGGTATGTCCCATTCGCGCGAAGGTAATGGATGCCTTGAAAAAGTATAAATAGTTAAATAATTTACTTACAGCAGTACAATAGTGAATACGCGAAATATTTTAAGGCATTCGTTATTTCATCTATTGAATGCATAGCAGTATAAAAACACCACAAGACACAACACAAACTGTTTCGACTTTGCACAATCATTGAAATGTACTGCTTTGTATTCTAGAATTACTTGTTTATTTGATGACAATCCCAGGAACTACTGAATTCCTCAAGCTCCTAAAACAATGATATATATCATGACGATGTCGAATTAACATTAGCCAAGTATTTTTTCTTAACCAGAATATTTTATTGGCCTTAATTATACAGTCTTTTTAACTTGATTAAGATTTGACGTATAATGTTCATATAGATTTTAGGTTGCAACAGTAAATTCACCGTTTTCAATTCAGTAGGCTGCTTACTGGTTAAAAAATTCACTAAGGATAAACAGATAGATAGTGATTTTTTTTTTGGTATACGCAATTACAAGATTGACACAGAGTCTCTGAATTAGCTACTGCAAATCCAACAACCACTCCTCCATTTGCTCACATTATATTAATTTTTAATCGTTTTCTTTATCAAGTTCATCAGTGATCTAATCTAAATCTAAAATATATATTGGGTGTGTTGCAGTGTGTATATAGTTAACAACAACAACAATAATAATAATAATAATAATAATAGTAATAATAATAATAATAAATAATAACGACTAACACACCCCAATATGTTGGTTTATATTCTGACACTAGAGGGAGCACTTAGGCTGAATGCACCATATACGTATACTGTAACCGTCAGAAATTTAGTGAACTACGAGAAATATTTTGGTCATGTGAGCGGGAAGGGGATATTAGGTTGAGCTAAATAAATAATAAAACGCACACAAAGAATAAACCACGGAAAACATCTAATGAGTATGGTCAAATATTTCAGTTCACATATTTTTATTCAAGAATAGATTGTTTTGTTACAAGAATCGCTTTATTTATCGAATGCATGAAATCGTCGATTATTCGAGATGGAATACACCTGTTAATTTTTTACAGTATGTCATATGAGTTTGTTGGCGCAATATAATGTTGAAAAATGTTACAAACTTAAACTAAATATAATTAAATACCAAGAAATAAAATACAAAACTTGGTCTTCGTCTTCAGTAATCGTTCCACATGCAACTAGCAAAAATGAATTTGAATATTTGGCAAGTACAAACATTACCCGCATGTAAATTTAATCAATTGCAAAATGAAAAAAACTAATGAAAATTAAATCTACGAGAATCATCATTCAAGCAGAAATATAGTACTGAAATAGCCCACTTATAAAGCGTTAAATGGATGTATTCATTTTGAGATAGGACGTACAGTAAAGATATCTGTACACCGGTGCAACAAATATTTCATACAGCTAATTTACAGTTGACTGATTAATGTGAAGAAATCCAACATTGAAGTAAACTCTTTATGTATTTATAATTCACGCTCCTGTTAAATACTTTACACATTCTTTTAAACAGTAACGGCGTGACCCCGATTGATCTGGTTGCATTTTTAAATATTCAAGAAAAAGTAATAAAAGTGCGTATCGTTAAGTGTGCGTCATAATATTGCGTTGCTTTTTATAAAATGTCTTGTGTTGTTTTTCGTTTGCTTCATTTTTGAGATATTTTACGAGTAACACGTAAAATAACTTTATAAATAAGGTCCAATATTCGTAATTATAAAATCACATCTTGTCCATGATTTTCATGGGCACAAGAGCACTGTCTTTATACAGTTAGTTTATACTGTCTTTATACAGGCAGTTGTCATGTTTTCCTTATATTGGGAATATTAATAACATGACATACATCTAGGAATCCAAACTACCTGGAAGAATAATACAAGCATTTTTCAAGCTCACTAGCGATTCATTTTCATGTTTGACCTGAAGGTGGCACCCATTCATTACAATATAAAATACTAATTAAAACTTAGACGGAATGCATCTATAGGAGAGGCGTATACAAAGCAGAAGACGGATGAAATCCTGTATACTCTGCTTATATAATTTACGGGGACATACATTTTACACATTTCACCTCCAAAAATGTAACTTCCTTGTTTTTCCAACTTGCATTACCCACACACAAAGTTATACTATCCATAGGTCTGTTTGAAATGGGATATTAAGAGGCTTTTGGCATAGAGATGGTGCGATATTTCGCAACCCTGACTGTAACTGTTTAAAATTTTAATATGCTAAAATAAAACGGAACTTATAGTTCAACGGATAAATAGCTGGTGTCCCCTGTGAACCATCTTAGCCGTCTCATTCATCATCATAACAACCGTTTAGTGTAAAATTAACAACGACTTAACTACTACAGCAATAAACATGGTCACGCATTACCAAAGATTGATGAAGATTGCGCGGAGCATTCCACAAACCTTACGCGAAGACAGGCCACAGACACAAACCTGTCTGTGTGGTTGGCTTGTGTCTACGTGTCTGAATATAAGCAGAGACGTTGTGTACCTACAGTTTATGCTAATACAATTTACTGAAAAATACGCCCTAATTAACCGAAATGAGACACAAACACACAGTACACCGAACAGATACAAATGTCTATATATATATATACATACACACACACATACATACATATAAAAAGCCTAACCAGTTCTGGTTTATAATTTCGCCCATAGCCAAGTAATCCCTTTGATTATATCTAATGCCTGCCAAAACCCAGATGGCATGGTAACCCATCTCAGAGGGTGATAATGCCACATTGTGAAATCTACCCATTAATATTAATTGTCAGCCTGTGAATCTGTCTGAACTACTAAAGCTTGAAATTCCCCCGAAAAAGACAGGGCCCGACTTACAGGGGATTGTAGAATAATTCCTGTTTTTTTTCCTCCGTTTTTTTTTTTTTTTTTTTACAATTCACTGTTTTTTTCTACAGTGAAGACATCTCACTGTTCTGTCCAGCAGCATGCAGAGGTTAGTGTATGAAAGCACTGTTTTCATTTTCATTAACACGGAATAACATCTACCTTGGCTCATCATCACATCTACAAAGATAGTGAAGTCAAGATGGTCTGTTCGTAAAAACCCAAGCAGGTAACAAAATAAAGGCCGAAAGTAACAAAAATGGATATACTTTTTGGCTAATTATAAAATTTGGTGCGTTGGAGAAAACAGCATCGACAAAATGCATGATTATTGGACCCGCAATGTTATGATACCATTTTAATCTCTTCGGTTGTAGTTTGCAGGTGAAACGAGCCTCGTTTGTATTGACTACATGACTAACTATAGCAAAGTTAAAACCGAGAAAAGTAAATGGCTTTTGAATGTTTCCTAAACTAAACACTCACTGTGATTGGCCCGGAGCAAATTAGACGGCGACAATAAAAATGTTGGCATCGGTATCTATGGGAAGCTTGGCTTGGTATTGTAGGACTAGCGAGACGGCCAGAGTGATTTAATTCTGCCATGAAAGGTCAGTGCGGGGTCTGGCAAAACTCACCCCGTCGCCTTCCATTTGTTCGCACGTCAATACTTCGGTACAGGCCACAAACAAACTAGTGGTTTGGAAGAGCTCATTGACCATTGCGTTTGTCAACAAAATGATTTAGTGCCTGCAATCGCCCAAGTGCCGTGAATACCAGATTATTATGTACTGTTTTTCCCTCATCGGATTGTGAATAAATCCGCAAGAAATGTCACACTAAAATACGTCTTTCACAGCAGAATTTAAAACACTTGTAGTAGCAATAATATCCCAGATTAGAAGGGAATTTATGTACACGATGTTTAAGGATGCTTCCATGGTTTTGTGTATATTGCCATTTTTGACAGATCGAACAGATCAGTGTGCATATATGCCCGGTATATCCAAGAAAGCATTCATAAGTTACAGAGACGTAGAAATCATTGGCCTGAAATCAGCTGAAAAAAGCAGCGGTGTCTTCTCTTACGTTATATGGAAGACGACTGTAATCCAGTTTCGGACAAAACAAACATGAAATGAAACCAAATGAATTCTCTATACGATTACCGAAGTAAGAAATCAGCATGAATCCTAAGAATGTATAGAATTCCGTAATGTTACTGAAGACTGAAGAGAATATGGTTAAATATGTTTATTCGTTCATTCAACGTTTTCACAGAGTAAAGAAACCCAGATAAATTTAATTCCTCAGAGCTGGGTTAGGTTTCTTTTCTTTAATAAAGGTTCCGATAACGAGAACTGACAGGCAGATCAAAATAAACGCACCAGGCCTGGAAATTGCATGCGGAGGAATGGCATGCTAGAC